GACGAAGAGACCCATGGCTAAGGAGCCTCGCGCTGTGCAGCTGGCCGGGGAGCTCCCGGCCCTGGGGCTGGAGAAGCGGGGCCTGCCCAGGAAGCGGCTGGTCCAGCGGGGTGACGGCGGCGCAGAGAGGGGGGCTGTGGTCTGGGACCCCGGGTCCTGGCCAAAGACGGGGTCCCCGTGGCATGTTGCAGCTCGTCCAGGCCCAGCCCCTGGGGTGCTCCTCCAGTGTTGGGGGCCCGGCAGGGCACTGTCACCTGATGAGGGACGGGGGAGAAGCCCACAGAGGATGCCTGGGGCCAGGGGAGTCAGGGGTCCGTGCTCGAGGGCTTGAGGGGCCTGAGGGTGGTGGAGGTTTGGGAGAGGCCTGACGGAGCTGGAGATGAGAGAACCGTCTCCTGTACCCTCGGACACGATTTCAATCATTGCAGGGATTTTGGGGTGCAGATGGGGGCCGGGCCCTGGCCAGGGGGTGGAGACAGGCGAGACAGCGTCGGCAGGGGGCGGGGCGGGTGGTTTGGTGGAAACAGACATTGAGTGTCTGGTGCCCTGAGCCGTCTCCCCTCTCAGCCGGTTCCTCTCCCTCCTGGGCTGTGCCGGGCCGGGGAGCGTTCAGCCGCTCGGCCTGGGGCTCCCTGTGCTCAGATCACTGTGGTCACACATGTTCCGCCGGTGTGACTCTGTGGGGGTTCACACCTGCACCCAGAGCTGCTCCTTTTTCAGGAAACATTTGGGGTGCTGAGGCGCAGCCAGGAAACCCTGACCGCTGTGACAGTCCCCGCAGACCCAGCACATTCTGGTCACACCTCACCCCACTGTCTCTAGAACCTTCTCTCAGTCCCAAGCCGGGTCTCTACCCGGCACGGTGAGCTCCCATCCACTTCCAGCCCACGTCCTGTCACCCCCATAGTTAAGGGGATAAATCACAGTCTTCACTATCTCGGCCATTTACTGGATGTGGCTCGGGGTAACAGAGCCCCAGGTCTCCCACTGACTCTGGGGGTGTCACGTGCAGGACGGACGGCGGAACCCCCGAGCAGCCAACCGGCCACCCCCACCCGCCACCACCCCGCTTTCCCCTCCCTCCTCCCCCCACCTGACTCTAGGCTGTACCCCGCCTTACCGACGTCCCTGGTCCCCCCTTCCCTCCTCCCAGACAGCGGGGTTCCCCAGCGCGGGGATTGGCGCGTTCAGGGTGGGGAAACGCGGCTCCCACAGTCCCACTCGCTCAGCCAGGGCGGGCGCGCAGCCCCGCGCCGCCAGCAGGGGGCGCTGCGGGTGACGTCGGCCGCGGGG